GTTCTTGTCTAAGCCGGTCCCACCTGGGAAGCTCTTGCCTGGAGTCACTGCTGCGGCTGCTGCTGGCGCGATTCCCAAGGCGAAAGCCAAATCGAAAGGCGGGTTTGGCAGAATAAACCCGCCTCCCCCGCCGGCGCGATTGCCTCCAACTCCGCCCCCGGCCGTCGCGAAACCGGTTTTCCCTCCCCCCAGGCCAAAGCATCGCTAGGTTCCTACAGCACGAATGAAAACACAGCACGCCAACACAACAGTTCATGCTGTTACTTGTGCACATGTCCGTACAGATGCTGACAGTGCCAAATACGCAGGTTTGCAGTTCCTGTGCTAGATAGCTTTGGCTGGGGGTCATGGCTTCCTTCGCCTCGGCTGCTGAAGCCGCGGCTTCGGCTGATGACGAGGCATTCTTCGCATTCTTGTGATTCGACATAGGCACGTGCAGTCTCGGTTTCACTCCGCAGGTTCAGACTGACAAGCCGGCCGATGAAGTGGTGGGCTCCTGAATTCTTCGAACGTTTGTTATTGTTGCCAATCTGTAGCCGGTTTTTTGCTTTGCTTGAGTGTGCATTGTGACCTCAGATTGTCGCGGCGATGAAAGAGGCGATGGAACCTCTCATGAGGACTGCCAACAGCATCTTAGCCCGCAAGTGTATTCCGGAACAGACACGACATGACACCGAGCTCCGCAATTTCGATCCCAGGTGCGGACTTGATATTCGAGGGCATCCGACGATTCAGCAATCCAGAGGATTCGATTCCTTTGGATTACGTCAATGTAATGCTGTGGCCACTTCTCGATGCGGTCTTCGAGAAATTTCGTGGGGATCTTACGCAGTGCTAAACATACAGGCCGAGACTTTTTTGATTGCTGAACCTCTAGGTCTGCTGGGATTGAACAAGACGCCCGCCCCGCGGATCTTCGATCAGTCTGACGCTTGGACGGCAACTATCGCACATCAACTGAAGTACGTCGCTGCAGGGCGCCGTAGCCTCTGATGTCTAAGGTGGTGCTTTCGGCCCCTCTGATGAGCCGGCTGGACCAGGCACTGGTGTCCAGTGTGGTCAGGCGGGCGTGCTCGCGGGTGCGAGCCCTGAAGAAGCGGTCCCCGACGATTGGCTGAACCGTAATTTGTATGTTGCTTGGAGCCTTCTTATTGCCTGCTTCGAATTCTGTTTTCGTAATCCATATGCTCAGGAGCAGCTACTTTCCGAAGCTGGACCTCCTCAAAGAGAAGCGCCCTCGCTGCACATATTTCTTGACTGGTGACTCTTGACTTTTGCTTGCTGCAAACATATTGTGGTGTTGTGAGGCTGCTTCCAGCGCCTCCACGGGCGAACAAGCCTGAGGCGGAGGAGGCCGAGGAGGCCGAGGAGGCCGAGGATAAAGTGAAGGAGTGACTGGGTCGTTAATAGACTGACTCTGTCTGTCTATGTTTCTCTGTGTGTGTCTGTGTGTGTTTCAGTTGCTGCTCGCCACCATAATCCAAACAGTTTTGTGGAGTTGTTAAGGCCTGTCGTTTGTTGAGCAATTTAGGCCAGATGTCAAGAAGATCAAGATCCAGGCGTGGGTGGACTTTGGAAGTGCAATTTGCAGTTCTTTGCATGTCTTACCTACAGGAAGCCCAGGAGCAGTACCGCGGCCTCTGCAAAGAGATTTTTGGTCATGCCGCTTATCTTGAATTGCGCATGGCTTCTCTGGCAGCCTGTCGGTGCTGTTTGTGTCCTGAGCACTTTTACCACACCTCCGAAGGTCAGCTTGCTTGTTTCGAAACCAGCGCGATAAACTCCTCATGTTGAGCTTGCCTGTGCAAAGTTGTTTGGTTGGACTTTTTCCTTGCCCTGTATGGTTTTCTAGAAGCCCTGAGCTTCATAGCATTTGTCATTACCCAGGAGCCAGTGGCGATTGACGACTCGGACGAGGAGCTCCACGACAAGGGTGTCGAAGCGGACGTCAAGGATGAGAGGGCATTTCTTAGCCCGCAAGCACAAGCAGCACGGCTACGCAAGCGCATTGTTGTTGCCAACATGCACGGTGTCTGTGTCTTTGGCTTCGCTTCCAGCTAAGGAGCCTGGCCAGCAAAAGGCCAAGGCCAAGGCAAAGGCCGCTGATGGCGCCGACCGGCGCCGGGATGAGGCTGCGGCTTCTCGGGAGGGTGCCCGGCCGGCTGACGAGGCGGAGGTTGGGGAAGAGCACGCTCCGAAGGCTGAGACTGGCCGGGCGGCAGTGGGGGCGGATGGCAAGCCGGAAGTGGAGCCGGCTTCGAAGAAGGTTTCTGGCAAAGCGCAAGGCTCGAACTTCGCAGGGAGATCGCCGCCGGGCAACCATCCCTGGTCCACCCGCTTCCGTTGCTGCAAAAACACCTGGGTCGAGATCCTTGGCATTAATGCGTGCAGAGTCGCAGCATTTGCAACACAATAGCTCATCGACATGTCCAACTCAGGAAGATTCACCCTTTGGTCAAGCCCGGTCATTATGTGAAATCCCAGGCTCCGTGGAGTTTTGGTGAGGGGTGATGTGGGTCTCCTATAGCGCTGCCTGCGTGTTTCGCCTGAGCTCCAACTGTGTTTGTTGCTGCGGCCTGGAAGGTCCACTGGTGGAAATATGTTCTCGACAACCTGGACCTGAGCAAGTGCTGCACGGAGGAAGAAATCGAGACCCGTGTGGAGGAGCTCAGCGGTCTCTATGCTGTGCCTTGTGATCAAAAGCTGCTCACGGGGCCGTAGGCTTGCGAAGCTTCAGCTCGAGATGGGTTGTATTAACGGCGAAAAAAGGGCAGGTTGCTGCACCTGCTCATGCATCAATGTCTGGTCGTGCTCAAGTGCATTTCGAGTGAAACTTGTGTGCTTCATGCTTGCTGTCTGAGACCTCAGTTCCCAATCTTGGCCAGGTACTTCTACTGATGATGCAAGCGCTTCTTCGAGGAAGCGGAGCCGGCCTTCACAGGATGGTGCAACCGCCCGCCTCGTTGTTCTTTGCAAGGAGTTTTGCCTTTCATCGGAGTTTCTTAAGGGTATAAATGTAGTGCAGCCCAACATATATTAAGACAAAGCATCGGTCGTTGCAGCGTGGTCCAGAGAGTGCACTGTTGCTCAATGCATGGGCACATATATGTTCGCCGTGACTTGAAGCTGTGCTTGCGCAACATGCAGCTTTAAATTGACGCAGCTCATATGCAGGCCTCATATGCAAGCAGGCAATTTTGGGGCAAAGGCCAAAACCTTTCATGAAAAAAGCTTGATCTCGCAGGTCCCAGGTTGGGGTTCCGTAGATTGATAGCGAAAGTGAACTCTCGGCTGAGCCATGCGTGTGACTTTGTGGACCCTGGTGTTGGTGGCCCTTTTCAGGAGCGACTTTTGCTGATAGCACTCGCAAAGCTTCTGAGTTGAACTATATTTCACATGTTTATGTCCAACTGGCTGAGAGGACTGCCGAGGCATACCACGCCCTCATCGAGAGCATGATCAGTTTCGGTGTGCCCAAGCTCTTGATCCTGTGTCTTTTGCTGTTGCAGCCGCCTGAGCTTTAACGTGTCACACATATTGTCGCGGCGCAATCCTGGAATCATGTGAGGATGTGGAACAGGGAAATCCCCATCACGCCCAAGTACGACTGCCTGGACTTGTTCTCTGGCGCCGGCTTGGTCAAGGACGTGTGCTTACGTGCATGTTTGGTCACTTGCGTGGAGTGCTGTGCTGCTACATAAAGAGATTCTTCTAGTGTCCAAGGAATCCTTATGCAAGCTGGGCTATGCCGTCTCCTCCCACGATATCGAGAAACACCCATCTATGGACATCAACAGCTCAGCCGGCTTTGCGTGGATGCCCCAAACTAGCTTTGTTGGCTGAGGTTCTGTATGTTCACATATACTTTTTCTATCGCCTATGCTCGAAGGCTCATTTTGGCGAGCTTCCTCAGTTTGAAGCGTGATGGGCCAAGGTGGGTCGTTCAGGTGTTAGAACCTGTTGGAATATGTTAACAATTGAAGCGCGCCTGCCGTGTGTTGCAGGTTCGCGATGCTCCAGCCGGTGTGCTCGACGTGGGTGTGGATGAACCGCCACACCTCGCAGAGAAGCACCTCTTCGGCAATTGAGGTTGGAAATCCTATCAGGAGACCAGCTTTAAGATTTGTTGGACCCAGGTCGCGAGAACCCTCTGGGTCGAACCGAGTTACCGTCGGTAGCAGATGCAAATAGAATGGTGGCGAGGAGTGCTGCAACCAAGCTTGAGCTTGCGTGGGTTGTGTTAATGGGAAGTTGGCTGCAGGACCGCCCTGGTGATGATGCTCATCCATTGGTGTGGTGGAGGGTGGATTCTGGAACAGCCTGCAAGTTCCCTCATGCAGGAGCATCCAGCGGTAGCCGCCGCCTTGCTGAGATGCCAATATTTCAAGATCAATGCCTTCCTCGGGGCGTACAGGCATTGGAGTTGGAAGTTGTGTTCGTTCTATTCGAACAGGCTCCTGGATTGCATTGGCTGGTGTAGCTGTATGTGTTACACTTCAATCTTTGCCTTGCTGTCTGTGTGTGTGTGTGTTACAATTAAATCTTTGCCTGCAAGCCATGTACTCGACGTAGAACGTGAGGCTCTGGGTCGCTGGACTTTATCGGCCCTTCACGCTCCGGCGCAAGAAGCTGTCCGAGGCCGTTCGTGTGCGTCTTGGCCTCCCGAAGAGTGTTAAGCGTGTTGCCGGTAAAGTGACCGGCACGAGCAGCTTGAAGGGCACACAGACCCATGGCAGCAATTATCCTAAAGCCAGAAGACAATCAATGTCACTATCGCATGTGTATGTGTGCTTTGGTTTCTTTGGGCTGTTTCCATCTGAGGAAGTATCCCAGACCGTTCGCGAAGAAGATTGCCCAACTCGTGGCCCGCCAACAGCCCACTCCGAGCTGCATTCCCTTGACTTCTTTCAGTCACGGAGAAGAGATGACAGGGCTGCTTGAATCCAATATGACATCATGGAGAGTTAAACATCTCGACTTATGAGGGCCCGCCAGGGTCCGTTCGAGGCCATCTTAGTGCCGTTCTTTTGACACAGGACGAGCGTTCTTTTTCCAAGGTAAAAGAACGGCCGATTTTGGGGTTTCGGGGTGGTCTGCAGCAAGCCCAAATCGGTTGCAAAACCGCCCTCGACTCTCCCCACTTTCGACATATACAGGGCCAGCTGATAACCACATGCACTCTTCTTTGGTTGCTGTGCAAGGTTCGAGCTGTTCTACAAGCCCGATGGCACGGTGGATTTGTGGGATGAGGACACTTACGATGCTTTCATGGATGCGCCTTGGCATGCGTCCTTTCGGCTTTGCAAACTCCATTGCTTGTGTGCCCATGGGTAGTTGTTGCAATTTGATTGGATGCCTGGAGTCTCAGGCTCAGCTTTATAAAGTGGCCAAATATTTGGCGAGGAGCCGCACTATGCTGGTGCCAAGTGTTGGCTTCAGGACTGCAGCTCGCATTAAATGGGATGCACGAAACTCATAAATCAAGCTGTGCTCGTTTCTCCATCTCCGTGCAGGAAGCTTTTGGTGGATGCCGAGATTTATGATGTGGGCCGATAGATGCAACCCAGGACAGGACAAGGGCCGATTATAAAAGCTTGTGCCGCCTCTGCTTTATGTTAAAGCGCTGCCTGCAACATGACTACATTCATGCATTGCACGCATGGCAAAGTTAACCATACATGCATACATGGGTGTGTATATCCATATATATATAT